CCAAAAGGAAAAATCCATGAGGCCGTAAACTCCTCAAATGAGGTCCTTTCCCTACAACACTTACATGCAACCTTTGAGACTTATAACACTTGTATAAAGTGTTTACCATGTCATAGAGTGTCTTAACTTTGTTTATTAGTTGTTTAAAGACTAATTGTGTATATACATATATCCTTATATGTTATTAGGGTCTTTGTGCGTGTCTAATTCTTCACTTGACACCAAGCACTTATCCGACACTTCCTTCCGATCCACTTACTACAGGTGAGTTCATACCCCTTAATCAATGTTTTAACTGTTTTTAAATGTTTTATGGGGGGATACAAGTATAATTATGCTAGTTACTATATCAATCACATGTGATTAGTAAGCAACATTCAAATGATTGGCTACTCATTAGCTATTTTACCAAACAGTTTCCTTCAAATGATTTTCATACACACTTTATATGTTTAAAACTCCTTATTACACTGTACATTTTACTCTGTATATTACATTTCAAACTTATTTACAATTGTGTTTCAAACAAATGTTTCTTTATACTAAACCGTTTTATGAAACCCATGTCTTCAATACCCTTATATAGATCGACATCAAGTTGATCTTTTCTTAGAAAATATTTATGTTCAAAGGTTTTTACAAAACTTATTTTATGCTTTTATATTATAAATTGCATGCCTATATATGTATATTTATATGATGAATGTTTAAAAGACTTAGGAAGGCTATCCACCATATTTCCTTTTCGCGATTGAGATGTGGTCTGGTGGGATATCGGGTACCCGTCCGAAGGTCATTTAAATATTAGTTATATATCATATGTACATATATAGTCGTAAAGGTTCTTCCAGTTCATTCAATTCCCTTGAGTAGCAAGGGTACACATCCATGTTCATACGTCCCAATTACATTACTAGTAAACTCCCATATTGGTAGTTTAGGAAGATACTGGAACCATTACTAGAACACGATATCTTACAATGAGTCAGTTCATTCATGAGTCTATACTTGCTAGGTAGAGAGCACGTACATTGCAGCTAGCACACAGAGAACATTTCAGTACATTACTTTACATTTACATTGATACGTTTACATAGAGATCATGTTATAAGCATGCCTATATATGTATAATTATATAAGCAATGTTTAAAGGACTTAGGAAGGCTATCCACCCTATTTCCTTTTCGCGCTTGAGATATGGTATGGTGGGATATTGAGTACCATCCAAAGGTCGTTTAAACATTGGTTATATATCATGTATACATATATGGACTTACTAGTTCCTTTCAGTCAGTTCAGTGCCTTTGGGTAGCAAAGGCCTATGTTCATATACTTTTACATGATTACGCTTACATAAGTACATATACATGAATACGTTAACAAAATTGTGATCCACTCTATCGAAGCATGCCTTAAATGTCATGGCCCGAGTTGCAGCCAAAGTCTCTTGGAGGGAGAGCGTGAGTTTGCGTATAGATCTATACTGGATTAACTATCCTACACCTTGCTGCTAGTTACAGCCGGACCTGCAGGTCTGCGGGTGCCAAACGTCATTCCGTTTTTACGACCATTCGTGTGTCGTTGTTACCAGTCAATAATATGGTGAAATTAATCACATAATACCATAATATAAATCTGGTTTAAGGTAGTTAGTACAACAGTAGTTCTTATAGCGTTACATTTTAGTACTACATTAATTTTCCCTATACATATATTTAGTGATCTTTTCACATAAACTTTAAATGTAAAAACTATATTTTATTAAATGATAGTTACACTTGGGAAAATTACACACTTTTACATGAAATGAACATTTAGAACAGTTAAGTCTTAGTAGAAGACTATATTGAGAACAGTTAAGTCTTGGTAGAAGCACCCTTATATAATAGTAGGAATCATAGGGATTTCTCGAGTTTTTCAAACGTTTACAGTTGTTTTACAAACATTTTTATACTTACGGTTTATAAACTTACAACTTCTTACATACAAATTAAGACACTAAAATACTTATGATCTCACCAGCTTCAAAGCTGATACTCGCTTTCAAAATTACTTGTATCCTCAGGTCATTATAGACAGGTACCGATGCAAGGAGAAAGGAAGATGGAGCTCATTCAAGACTCATCTTTCATTTTGATTTATGCTTTAGTGTTTATCAAAATTTGACAGAACACTTGTATAATAATTATATTATTAATGCAATGGATGATGTTGTTGCTTGTTTACTACTTTTCATTGTTGTGATACTGTACATGACGTCCTCCGCCCCAGAACGTTTCTGCCGTTCTTGGTTTTGGGGTGTGACAAAAGCAGGCTGCACAATCAAAAGATACAGTTCTAAAACTTCTTATTCATACAATGCTTAGAGTAATTTACACTTTTGTTCCCTTTATATAGACGATTTCTTCAATTTTTGTCATCTAAGGTTTTCGTAAAAGTGTTACAGGAAAAAATAAAGGAACAGTTTAGAAGATTATACCCTCCTAGGGATTTCAAGACGGAATAAATCATCATAAGTCCTGTTTAAAGCTCCTTTCTTGATCTCGGGGTGCTCCGAATCAATGAAAGGCCCTAATTGTTAACGAGTTAAATACAATGATTGTTATTTTAGAGTGATTTTGGTTTTTGAACAGTTACATGGTTAAAATTGTAAATTCTCACCAGTATAAGCAACTTAGGCTACTTTCTTTTTGCATATGCAAGAAGATCAGATAGTGGCTCAAAGAATAAGTTATCAGTCGTGGTGTAAGGGCCTGAAGCAATAATATGCTCAAACATGACATGGATAGAATCAGAGAGAAACCAGATACTAAACTTAAAGGGGTACTTTAGTAAAATAAAGAACAAGCTTTACACACCAATGATAAATCTGATGCTATATCAGATAAATCAGCAGGCTTTTTATCTTCATCCATAACTTGTCTATTCTTTTGACGAATATTTTCATCATCAAGGACAGATAACGGTACATAATCAACAATTTTTGTTGCGATTAAATAGTGCCCACTTTGATTCTGTCCTTCAATACCTATCACTTGTCGGATTATGTTTAAGTTAAATGTTTTTTTTGTCAGTTTCCATTTTAACTATCTACCTGGCCTGGGAAAAGGGAAAACCGATCCAGTTTCTTTAAGTCAAGGTGTACACGTTGACCTCCAGAATGCTCAACACTGTTCAAATAAGTAATATAGGACAACAGTAAGGGAAAACATGTTTGAAAAGAGCATAAAGATTCAACAAATATTACCTGCTTTGAAGCATGATTGGTTTTTCCTTTAAATGCCCTTCTTCTTCACAGCAAATCATGCCAACATCAAAAATACTTTTCTGATAGGGAAATATGAGATGTAATTTATGTTGTTGAAGCTCTTCAAAGATGATAAAAAAGAAAAGAATAATTCTAATAAAATATATATAGGAATTACTTGGGAAGCAATCGATAGATCAATAGGTTCCTCATAAAGCAGAGATTCAACCATGGCTTTTGAATAATTCATGATTTTATCTTCAAGATAATTAAACAAAACTTCCAAAAAAACATTAAAGTTAGTGATGTAACCATAATCATGAGACAAAAAGCAATCAAAATTAAGAGAATACAAGAATACCTTGTCTTTTATACTATCATACATGTATCTGCATCTAGGATCTCATCAAGAGCTCCACTCCAACCTTTTCCAAACCACCCTCATATTCCTCCTCGTAGTTCATCTTATTCATCGCCTCCTCCACCCACCATCCTTCACCACCTCCTCCGATTTTCATGGACCCAATCCGCTACTCCAACCTCCGAGCGGAGCCCTCAAGTCAATCAAACCACTCGGTTGTCTCGAATCTGACGTGATACACGCCAGCAAGGACTTGAGCCCGAAGATGGATTCGTAAGAACCTCAATATCTTCTTCTAGACCTTCTCCATCTTCCGCGACAACTATAAGTTCTTGTAGAAGTTCCAACGGCTGGAGACGAGGGATCTTCCAGCAAGTTCAAAGCCGTTGCGGAGAGCTCTGGAGAGAATATCGAGCTGTATCCGACATGTCGTGGTTAACTCCACGCCGGAGTACTTGATCTGAGATACGAGCTTGGTTGCGTTTTTCCTTAAGGATAAACAAAATGGACTTAGTATTGGTGGAGGCGGATTGGGGTTTGTAGAGAAAAGGAGAAAGAGAGAGTGAAGGTCATCAACTGGTGGAAAGGACAAATCTTATGGTGAAATTCAAGCAGGGTTTGAGATAAACAAAAGGGAAAACACACGAAGAAGGAGGAGAACACACGAAGGAGAAGGAGAAAGGAGGAGACGCAACAGGCGGGGTTTTAATTTTTTTGGGGGATTTCGTTTTCCCCTATCCACTAAATGCGTGTTCATTAAAATTATAAATGTACACTTCTAGAGGACAAGCATTTAACATACAGTGCCCTCCGTGTTTTTCATTTTTTTTTTCTTATGACACTAATTTAAGGGCACACAATAATGTGTGGCCTAAATTCATAAATATTTTTAAGAGGTGACACTGTTTTTAATGTCACTCTATTTTGGGTAACATAAATCAATGACTGTCGTGGTTTGCACGTCATAAAATGATATTTTTCTTGTAGTGTGATATGGTTATGGTTTGTACGATATTGGTATTTTGGGGAACTTACTAAGTTTTGGGCTTAGAGTTTTGGATTTTTTTTCAGGTACTTCGGATAATCGCAGGAAGACGAATGCTTGATCGTTTACCTCTACACATTTTATGATTTTGATTTCTAAGATACTCTGATATGAAACTATTTTGAAAACATTTCTTTAATAAATAACGATTTTTTGGATTTTTGAAAAAGTTTAAAATTTTTGTAAAATTTATGGATGTTACATACTAATTTTGTGGCAGAAAACTAACAAAAATGTTGTAGTTGTTATGATCCAAATAATTGTAACCAATTGGACACGTGGCTTAACAGAGACAAATGTGGCCCAATAGATACTATGGACAAAGTAGGATACAATAATTGAAATACAAATCTATACCTATAGCTAGGACATTAGTTCAGGAGTATTTTTGTTTTTTTTTTTTTTATTTTTTTTTTTATTTTTATTTTTTTTGGTATGAGATGAATCTATGTAATGCATGCTGAACACACAACATTCTATATCTACACAAAAGAATAAAAGGGCAATATATTCATTACACAACCCGATCACCGATGCCTCTACTTTCTGAAGCTTTCCCTGCCTAAGTTTCATTAGCTGAATAAAAGCCAAATTCATCGCCATTCCAAGTTGAAGAAAAGTTATCAAAGGTGATAAGTTGGCTGAAAGACATGGGAGGTTTAGGATCAGAGAGGGATTTCCATTCACCTTCAAGCATAAATGCAACCGAAGACATGGTGGGACGATCGTTTGGATCTTCTTCAACGCATAGTAGAGCAATACGCATCCATTTGAGACCCTCATCGACAGGACAATCATCATTCAGATTTTCATCTATCAGTTGCTCTCCTTTTCCTTCTTCCCATAACATCCATGCCTTCAATTGTCAAAGTAACATGGTCTAATCGTTAGAAATTAGCCAATTCTTGAACAAGTGAGAATTTTTAAATAGAAAATGATCTAACTGAAATGAAAAATTGAAGACATTAATGAGAAAATTTTGGCTTACATAGTAGAGAAGGTTTTGATCATGTTCTTCATAAAACAACCTGCAGTTCCTTTTCCCAGAAATAATTTCAAGCAGAAGTACACCAAAACTATACACATCAGATTTAATTGAGAACAACCCCTCCATTGCATACTCAGGTGCCATGTATCCACTGTCCAAGGTTCACAACAAACTTTAATACAGTTAACCTAAATAACTGAATATATTAATTTCTATAAACTGTATATCTGGCTTACTAGGTTCCAACAACTCTGTTAGTGTTAGCTTCCATTTGATTAGATCCAAAAATTCTCGCAGTGCCAAAATCTGATATTTTTGGGTTAATATCGTCATCTAATAGAACATTGCTAGCTTTGAGGTCTCTATGTATGATCTTGAGGCGAGAGTCCTCATGAAGATACCGAAGACCCTTTGCTATTCCATTCACTATGTTGACACGCTTAGCCCAATCCAGTTCTTTTGCTTTTTTAGGATCTTCTATCATACAAGTACGCTAATAAGTTACTCATAATTAAATACATAACGTTAACAAGGTTTATAAGAAAAAAATAGAGAAATGCCGAAAGGGTTGGATAACAAACCAAAAAGATACTTATCAAGGCTACTGTTAGACATGTATTCATAAACAAGGAGCCTTTCCTTCCCTTTCATACAGCAACCCAAAAGCTTCACCAAATTTTTATGTTGTAGCGTTATTATTAGTTTTACTTCTGTTTTGAATTCCTTCATTCCTTGACTTGAGTTTTGTGAAAGTCTTTTCACAGCTATCTTTTTGCCATCGGAGAGCGTTCCCTGAGACAAAAAAAAAAATGATTGAGAAATGTAAAGTAACAAAAAAAAAAAGAGACCAATGTGTATTGATATATTTGTGGTTATTACCCAATAAACAGAACCAAAACCACCTTCTCCAAGTTTATTTGCATCCGAGAAATTACGAGTAGCTGCTTGAATTGTGTTTAGTCTGAAGTAAATAATTTCGCCAGTGTCATCATCTGATCCTTCAAACAGTTCTTCCTCTTCCTCTACACAAAGATTGTTATTGGACTCCTTGATGGGTGATTCTATATAATGATATTCTACTAGTTAAATCTTATTTACCTTTTCTACTCCCGATCCTGCGAACCTTAAGGCAGATAAAGAAAGTCGAGATAGCCAATGTGACAGCTGCCACTGCTACTACTGGAATAATGACCTTTGATCTCTTTTTCCCTTCATGGATTTATATCAAATACCAATAACCAACCTTTTGCTCATCAATAACTAATATCTAAAACTTCTTTTAAAAAAAAATAGTAACAATAAAAGTTAAAATGAACCTGTTGGTGGAATTCGTGGAGAATTTGTTGGTGGCATTGGTGGTGATACATCCACTACGTTAACAATATATATTATGTATCTTATCAAACATGAGTATCGGTAGTAAACTAATCCGTCAGTACTTCCATTATACGATGCTAGTAGATACTCAGTAGCGTTACCCAAGCACTCTTCACATTTATTATGAGATATAGTGGGAATGCATTGCATAGTCGCTTTAATATCCCCCCTAGAACTCGGTAAATTCTCACTTCCAGTGTAAAACGTTTGAATGTAACCATCAGTAACTGCTGTAACCCGTAACTTTTTCAACAAGTTCATTAGGGTCTCAACGACAAAATCCCAATTCGGGATATAATTTTCTGGAAATGATATAACGTCTTCATCATCGCCATCAACTGTGTTTAAGCTGCTATTAGAGTAGCTGAGAATACAGGTACGGAAAAACCAAGCTGTGGCTTTCTTTTGGTTTGGACATTCCAGTTTTAGCCGGTTGGGTGCAGCTCTCACACAGCCAAGACACGTGTCATTTTGAAAGATCCCGGGGCATATTGCGAGGGCATAAGCTGTGTTCGAGTTCGACTCATTGTCTTGTGTTGAATTTGAAAATCTTGAAAAGACACCATTTCCGGTGGGTGCTTCTGCTAAAGCCAATAACGCATCATTGAGGTTCTTTTCATACGCACTATTTAGGGTAAAGTTTCCCTGCTTTCCGCACAGTGAATCTGCATGGGTAATGGTGAGACGAGAAAGATTTGCAAGAATGAAAAACTCAGTTATAGCTAATACCCAATTCATGGAAGCCATTAGTGTTTGTTTGTGGGAAATAATGTGTGTAGCTGTATAAAAGGCAACTCATTTGTCAACAACTTTGACTTCTGAATCATAAGTAACGTTGAAAATTCAAAGTGTAGGAAGTCGATGAAGTAAATGTGTGATCCCCTCATGGCGATATTACGTGATTTGTATGCAACTGTAGAGATGAAACAAAAATGTGGAGGACAATGAGAGAAAAGGAGTGGAGCGGAAGCCTTCAAATCAGACCTGGTAGTCAACCTATATATCATTTAACGTAGCTACACCACCATTAAAACCAACGCCAATGCAAGGACAAACAAAAAAAGACGTGGTCCATTTACACTTTAATCATACCGCAGAATACTAGCCTTTTGTATTAATAACTTTGAAAATATTAGATTTGCTATTACATTAATATATTAAATTTGAACAAAACATTAATTAAGAAAAAGGGAGCGCAATTTTGCTTAATAAAATTTAGGGATATGTAACAATATGACCATTAGTTACATGAGATACAAACATAATTCTAAAGTACGGAGTTGGATAAAACTAGATTGGTGACTAAAATATATTGGTCATATTTCGAAACTAAATGTAGCCAGTAATTATCAATGGATGTTGTCGTTATTTTATACAATTAGCGACGTGAATATTTAAGTGACAACAAAATTTTACTGATTTTGGTTACGTAAATAGTGACTATAGTGACCAACAAAGTGGTCAATAGATATTTATTGTTAGAGACAAACAAAATGTCACTAATTAAGGAATTATGAAAAAAATTAAAGAAAACCGACCTTTCTTGTATGTGGTCCGAGTCTCCCTATCCTCCAGGTATCCCTAGTTTATAAGTACCTGGTTAGTCTTTATCTTTTGTTTCCTTTTACTAACTTTTCTTCTCCTCTATTTAAACACCTCTGATGAATGATTTAATTAAGCTTTTGTATTATCAAAATATTTATGTTATTGCATACTAGTACAAAACAAAAATGACATACAGAGACACATCATAAAAAGTATGATCATATGCATATAGTGATATTTTATTTTTTCACAGAAAGAGTAATGGAAGGTGACGTTATCGTATAAATTTTATGGTCACTTTAAAATATAGTGTCCGTATAATATGGAAAAATGTGACCGTATTTTATAAGTGTGGCTATTGGGTAAAAAATTGTTTTGTTAAAATAAATCATTTTATCCAATATTGTGGCGTTAAACTGTCAGTAGACACATTTATTTAATAATTATAGTGACTGTATATCACCAACCGGCTACATACATGTTGTTTCAATTTGGCGTTTTGCTAAGAAGTTGTCACACAATTGTAAGTTTATTAAAAACTATTGTGTATATTTTGCTGACATGCAGTTACGGTAAACATGACCATGTTACTAAATGGTCACGTGTAATTAATTTTATAAGTGATGATTTGCTAATAATTAGTCACAAAAAGAATCTATCGTATATAAATAGACAATTAAGTGAAACATAATCATAAATACTATAAAGACAAATATTTTATTATAATTATCTATTTAATATTAGCTTACGACCATATTTATATTACTTATTATCACCGATGCTATCATTCAAACACATAAAAATTTATAACTATGACTATTTTATATCATTTTGACATATAAATCAATTAAAAATATAATCATAATTGATTTATAGACACAATGATGTTTGTAATTTTGATCAATATTCAATTTAGACAAAACTACTAAATTAGTCCTTGTGGTTTGCAAAAAACTTTAGATAGGGTCCAAAACGTTTTCAACCTGCATGGAAGATTCAAAATCAAAAACTTCTTGGAATTTTGGTCCAAAAAATCTTGAAAAGACTATTATGCCCTTTTGTTTTTTTTTTATCATTTCTTTTTACTTAATTAATATTAAAAATAATATAAACCCCCACACAAGACACACACACTTTCTCTCTCTCTCTCTCTCACTCACCATCTCTCTCTCTATCTCTCTCTCTCTCTCTTATATATATATATATATATATATATATATATATATATATATATATATATATATATATATATATATATATATATATCGTTGAATCTCCTCAAAACCTATAAGGAAAACATGAAGTTTCAATCAGTTCGCAAACATAGTTTCCATTAGATTCACTAACAATTTGGTGCAAGGTTAAGGCTACAGCTCTCCGTATTCAAGTGATATCGGAGGAGTAAGCCAATAACCCAATGAGTTCTCAAAATAATAAAAAAAAATAACGAATAAAAGGGGGAGGGGGAGAGTGTTTCGTGGCTTCTACCTGTGAGAATGAATGATCCAAAAAAAAAAAAAAACTGTAACCGATTTATCCCTATCTTCTTTCCAACCAGATTGTACGCACAAAGAGACCCCCAAAAAAACTTGGTGTTGAATTTTTTTGCCCACCATCAAGAACAAACAATCATGGATGGGAATGAAAGCTTATATTCAAAAATTTGAAATATATGTTGAAATCCCCAAACAGTTGAACTCATCCCTCATTCTTTATGCTAGACTGATGATGATTTGGACGTTTGGTGTTCCAAAGCTACACATCTAAGCTGATCCCCTACCAGATAAGAATCACCATTTATACCTTTATTCTTCACCATCTTCACCTGAAACTCTAGATAAAAAAAGAGAGAATACCCTTCAATGATTTACACCCATAATCCTTTGTTCTTCACAACTTTTTTAAACCCATCAAAACATGCGATCGACTTAGAGTGAGAAGAAAAGAAATGACCTAATTCTTTCAGATAACGATGTTCACACACACCTGGAGGATCGATTGCATGGGTAATCGTTTTACTGAAGTGTAGTTGGGTATCGTGGTCATTTACTGAAGTGTAGTTGGGTATCGGGAGTAATTGTTTGATTTTCTACAAGAAGTAACAAGACGAGAGAGAGAGAGAGAGAGAGAGAGAGAGTGTGTGAGTGTGTGTGTGTGTGTGGTGTGGTGTGGAGGCAGTTTATATTATTTTTAATATTAATAAAATAAGAAAGAAATTAAAAGAAATGTAAAAAAACAAAACAAAAGGGCATAATAGTTTTTTTTAGATTTTTTGGACCAAAATCAAAGTAAGTTTTTGATTTTCGACCTTCCATGCAGGTTGAAAACATTTTGGACCTTATCCAAAGTTTTTCGCAAACCACGAGGACCAATTTTATAGTTTTGTCTTCAATTTATTACTACAAATTTTTATTATTAGTGTACCTATTTTATCGTTTAGACACACAAACATTGTAAAGGGTGACTATTGTTTGTACTATGATCATAGACAATTATTTAAACCGTAGCCAAAAGTATTTTAAAGACACAATTTTTCTAACTATAGTTATCATATATCGACAATGTGTTATGATAAAAGGATATTTATACAAATAATAAATCAAACCATAGTAATCCATACATATGTTCCCCAATTAAATACTAAAAAATCCATGCAATCAAAACAAATCTACAAATTATGCTAATGAAAACAAAAAAGTTAGAAACCAAAAACTAGAACTGGTTTATCTTATTCATAGTGCTCCTTCTATTTTTTGACAATGGCATTTCTCGTGTCAAACTCTTTTTACGCTTCTTGGAGTTTTGAAGTTCATTTTCTTGAGTTAATTCTATATGTGGTACTTTATGGGTTTTATACAAAAGAACAATCATATGTGCTCTTGCAAAACCCTAAACATGAATCCAGCTTTCTCTATTGTACATGCAATTCATCCAAGACTTGAATACCCTATTCTAGCATACATTAAAATTGAAACATACAACAAAACAAGTTTAGATGATACATTTCAATAGTTTCAAGAATCCTTGATCTTCAAGAAGCTTAGTGTCACAAGTGTAACACCTCTAATGGCTTACAAACACCAAAGCAAAGAGGATGATGTTTAGGAGAGAGGGAGAAAGGATAAAAATCGGCTCCAAGCTTCCAAGGGATCAAGTGGCCGATTTTTCTAGCCATAAGGGTCCTTATATACTTGTGCTGCTAGGGTTTTAGTCAAAATCCGAATTGGATGACTTAGGCCCAAAGCAGCTTGAGAACCTTTTGGATTAAGGCCTCCTTGGATGAAATTTGAGTGGGCTTCCACTCCTAATTTCGTCACCCTTATATCCAAGAGAGTTCACAACCCAAAACCAAATATCACACAATTGACAATTTCAGTCCCCTTTGTTTAATTAATCTCTTTTAGTCACAAAATCAATTCTTAAATAATTATTGACTAATATTAATTAAACTATATGATTTCTCCTTTAATATATTATTCCTATAATATATTAATATACCATAATAACCTCTCTCTCTCCCTCTCTCTCTCTCTCTCCCTCCATAAATCATCCTATCAAGTTGCTTTGGTGAATGCAACCTAAAAGGACCATGCACAACTGGGCCAAGTACATACCCAATATATTTACGGGCTTAGATGCTAATCCAATAGTACTTGCAGTAGTAATAGAGAAAATAAATTGGCCAGGGATACACAAAAGGCATATAAGAAGCAGCATCTCTCTTTAGAAACACAAAAGCAAAAAAAAAAAAAAAATCATGATTCATAGAGTTCAAATTACCTAAATTTAGTTCTACATAATTCAATACAATTTTATAAACTTCAAAATCTATTGCCTGTTACAGAAAACATTTATAGTTTAATGGAAAAGATTATACAATTCAACACATAGGATACCACCAAATCCAGAAGTTGGATGTTGAGTACAACTACACCAACTTTGCCATGCTGAAACAAATGCAACCTACTGAACTTTAAAAAGAAAATCCAAGCTCACAAATGCAGTATGTAGTAGATAAACCAATCTACTTACAATTTCAATACCAAGCTCTATTGTTTTTGGACCCAAACAATTTGATTTTGGCTGACCTGGAAACATATAAACCAAGAGTGCCACACCCACTATTCCAACAACTCCACATAAATGTCATGCTTCAACAACCACATCATCAAGAGGAAGACCACAAGCCGTTTCTCCTGCCAGATGAATTTCTCAATAAATATAAAAACTAAAATATCTTTCATGGATTTTATG